ATTGGCGAAGCCTTGTGATGGTTTGAAGCTTCATTTTACTGTGAGGACTCGGTCTGTACCTACCGACGGGGCGTCTCCGAGCAATGGTACGAAGATCTCCTGAGGTGCTGGCCCCCCGCCATTGTGATAGCCTCGAAGAAGAAAGTAGTGGAACGCACTTCAGGTACCTGAACTGTCAAACTGTCGATGTTATGGACAACAAGAATCAAGGGTTTTATTGGCCCATTTTGTATCATCTAGGGCTTAAATATATACATCAACCTCGGCAGTACGTCGATCGAGAAACGCGACATATCCTACTTCCTGCCCCAAAGCGAGTTGTGGTCGATGGGGATTGAATTGATCCCCAACTGACTTGCGGTTTTGGTTGTCATTGGGAGACTTGAATATACGCACGATAGACTCCGCCGCGACAATCCATGCCTAGTAACGTGCTTTTAGCACTCTCTTCATCTGGAATCTAAGGAAATCCACACACAATGTTCCAAACCCGTCCCCTCAAATCTGGTGTGTCTTCCCTGAACAAAGTGACGGAACACCACACCAAAGCTCCCGCTTCCAACACTGAACAGTCTAAAGAAGCGATGGGCACTTCGGCAGCCAGCTCAGGAGAGGCCAAACCCAGGCCAACGACTAACTTTCCCTCAAGAAGGGTTAAGAACACTCGGGCGAACGCGAAAGCACTTACCAAGATAGTTTTGGTATCAGCGAAGACCATGATTAAATCCTGTTCTTCACGGGAATCGAATCGCAAGGCGGAATGGACTTGCATCGGAACCTGACAAATGGGTTAATCTTAGTTCAAGGGAAAAATAAACCTACGTGGATGGACTCCCTCCACGCAGCCTGTAACTCGTTGAGGAAGAGCACAGTGCGACGAAAAGACGGGTGCATGAAACCACCCGGAGTTGATATCAAAAGAGTCTGTGCGATCAGCTTAACAATATCGGTGAGAACACTTTGAGCAACTTACAGAGCGTGATTCCCCTGTGTGGAATATTTCTTCAAGTTTCCCAACAAACTCCAGAACGAAAGGAACTCTGTTGCGGGAGCCATCCACAACGCGCCTAAGCTCATTACCGCTGTCCCCAGCGAAGAGAACGGGTCCGAGCTCCAAGTCGTGAGAAGCGCGATATCTCAAAGGATCTTCGGTTCCCCCCACGAATGTAGCCATGTTTACAATAGGTATACGGAACCTACAGCCACAGTTTTATAGGTGAAGAGCGCGAGGATAATAAAAACCATATATTCAGAATGAGCAACTCCGATAAACGGCATCCATAAAAACATCATTCAAAGACGAGTACTTGTGCCGCGGGGTTCTTTAGAACAATACATCCTGCGAAGGACACGGGCATGCAAAGTCCAATGCTGATAAAAATTAGATCGCACGCCACCAGCCACTGGGAAACATACCGTGTCCCATGCCTGACCATCAAACACGAGACGATCTTCCCGCATGACCACTGCCTCAACATGAAGCATGGCGCCGACTTCGAGGACAGCAGAGTGAACACTAGCACCAGGAATAAACGGCGAATGATTATAATCCGTTTTAGTCTACGCGAGCGTTAACAAAAGAGGAGAAGATCAGGCCAGGCTCACCATTAAGACATTGTCCTCCTTATAGATCACTATGAGTTTACCAGAATCCATGATCCCTGGCGCGAAGCAGAAATGCAAGCTCTTGCTGGGCTTCGAGGGACGTGAGGACCCTAGACACAGTACCAAAAAAAAAGACCCACATGAATTATTGAATCTCCCGAATCGACGAGCTCTTGAAGATTCAGAACCGTGCGTTCGAAAGCGTCTGCGTACGGCCCTTCTGGTTCACAGAGCAAGATTGTCTGCAAAAACACATAGTTGAACACGATAGCCTGACAAAGAAAAAGAAGCTAAAGGGACCTTGTACTTTGCGGTCATCGAGCTCTTCACCAGCAAAACGCACAATGCCAACAAAACTCAACACAAAGGGCTCATTGACTGCGTCGTCGTTGTCGTCGATCGCATATCGCACTTCTGTGTTGTCCGCGCGCGTCACGGAATGGAGGTCAAGGATTAGCCGGGGAAAGAGAACAACCGTCGAAGAAGGGAGAGGGTGCGCAAAAGTCAGGACGGGATCCATCACCCTCGCCAATACGTGACATCACATTTAACTAACAATTCGGCATGATTATATAACAGATTTGTCATCGACGCTGTGGCGCAAGTGTGAGAGTCACCTTACATGAACAAAAAAAGGATGGCAGCAGCTGCAATTTACTCTACAACCTCACAAGCATCGACAAACCCACGGTCGACTCGCTCCTCACTCAATCCAACAAAAGTCCCATCGCTAAATGAGTTATACGAGGACACAGACACCGGATAACCGTCGTTGAAAAACGATGAATCCGTGTGGCCGTAAGATACTGATGAAAGAACAGTCAGGAAAAAAGAAATAGAAGGAAGAGCGAGAAGGTTACCAACCTTGACTTGGTCCCCAAAACTCTGGTGTGAACATACTGCGATGAGACAATTCGACGCCCTGAAAAACATATTTGATTTATAAATTCCAGTTGAAATGTTGCTCCCACAGTATCAACGACGCCAACATTGGGCCACGATCCAGTTGTGCTGCCGTCGGCCGAAGTGGGGGTTAAACAGTCTGAGACAAATTCCAGCCGCGGGTAAACGAAAGTATGGTCGTTGACAAGAGCTTGCAGATCATCTTCCCTAAATTCTAAAGATGGGTAGGCGGCCATAGAATTTACATCGACATTCAGAGGTGGTCCATCTGATAGTTCAGCCTACCACCGGTAATCAGTGGAGAACGAAAAGAAAAATACAACACCTGGATCGTACAACTCGCAAGCAATCCGGTCCCGTGGTATCTGACTCTACACAAGTCACCCAATCTGGTCGAGGGTACATCGCGAAAAACTAAAATTAAAAGTCAATCGCTATGATAACATCAAAGGAAACAGTGCACATCACAAACAGCGACAGGAGATGTGGACAAAACTGGATAGGAATGGGTCACTTGTGCATACGGCACCATATCACGGCGACCAAAAATCCGAAGTTGATACCGCATGATCCATTCTGCAGTAAACTGATCACAACATCCAACCAAAGCGCAAACACGTACCACAGGTTCTGGCATGAAACCTCTTATGCAAGCGCGGCGGCAGCTGAGGTGCATCATAACACCAGTATAAAGCCCCTTTGGCTATCACGCGCCCTCCGTCCGCCGATAAGGTGATACCAGTGGATATGATATCATGATAATTGGGTTGGTCGATGCGAGCAACCTCCAGTGAGAAAACCTCCAGTCTGACAGGAGACAGAATCTTCACGGACAAACCAGATGGTTTCGTTGCGAACTCGACAAAATTGACGGATGTTTTTGAGAAGGCATCTAGAAAAACATATTCCCCACTTCCATCGACCACTGCTCCATCGACGAAAGTGATATTGGCAAACAACGTGTTGAACGAGTTCTCAGAGGGTGTAAACCAAGGCAACACGCCATTGCGTTGAGGTCGTTCGAAGTGCAGCAACCACATGGGAATGGGGGTATCTTCTGCCATCTTTGGTCTAGCGCGAGCGTTGAGAAGGTTGCTAACTACAAAAATATGGGTGAGTCAATCGTCTTCTCCGAACCTGGACTCAAACTTACGCCAAGGAGCGAGGGAAGTAGCCTTGAGTTGTCGAATGAGAACCGCTAACTCACGGCCGCTTCTGACCTCATTTAGCCGGCTAAAGATGAAATTCGCGATAAACTGGTTGCGACTCATCCCAGAGCTATCCGACTTAGGGTAGCATAATTCGCTAGCCTCAAGATGAGAGACCAGCCCTAAGGAACTAAGAAACGACATAGACAAGCGGGGACAGCAAACCTTGAACAAAGACGACAAGACTACAAAGTTAACGACACGACTGAGCCAGCAAAGCAAAAAACATACGACAAAAAAGACCAGGTTCTTCCAAACACAACTGTGCATTCCCAGCCACACGCTTGATAAAGTTCGTTGACCTGCAGTGGCAGAGTCATCGGAAAATTAGCAGCCTGTATGACGATCGTTGCTGAATGTACCCCACCTGCGCTTGTGGAAAGAAAAAGACGTCTGAGTCTAGTGTCGACGCAACAACCCTAGTAAAAATGGAGTCTGGTTCCACCTGGCTCGACATAGCTAACAGAAGACAGTAAAGGTGAGAGGCGGCGGAATGCGAACCAACCACGGAGTGGAGGAAAGAAAGCCGTAGAATTCCCTAAAGAGAAGACTGAATGGGATACGGAATCATCCTACAAACGTCTTAAAAGTGACATCGTTATTTTTACCAACAGCTTTTGTTGCCAGTGCGTGGGCGCTTGGAACCTGGCACTAATGAAGGAGGGTCATGTAATCAAATCGAGCGTGGACAAAGGGCGGTGTCGCACGCAAGATTCCAAGGATGGCCTGGGGTATAAGGGAGAGTAATTCGAGACCAAAAAATGGTGGAAAAAAAAGGAGGAACAAAGCGAGAAATGCTTTAATAATCACGGTCACTGATGAGGAGATGTGACTGAAGAACCTCATTAGTCAAGATGACTAAAGCAAGGTCTCCGACTGCGGCACCCGTGCCGGAGGCCCTTGTACTTATACTAGTAGATATTTGAAGTGTAGGTTTCCCACCCTACCCGCGGGAGCCCCGCGCATCATAATCAATCAATCGAGTCCGTGGTCATGACACTCCGTGTAACAGTGTTGGCCGTGCCAATGAACCTTCGGCTCCAAGTCGACTCGCCTATATAACTTGCAGGCACTCTGGGTAACAAGTTGGAGGCAGGATTCGAGCAAGAATTCTAGATCCTTCAGATGCGCAGTCCGCTTGGCGAGCGTATAGTATACAGGAGGATCGGCACACGGGGATCTTCATCCCGGCCGGCGACTTGACGAGATGCCGCTTTTTGCTTTTGACGTTCCACGTTGCCGGTCCTCTCTGTCCCCACTTCCCCTCCACCCTCAGCGCTAGCTATGCCCGGTCTATCCCTCGACAGCCCGCTCTCGCTGTACTCCATCCCGGCGATGTGGGCCACCGCGTTCGCCCCCGTTGTGTTGCGGGTGTGTGCCATGGCAGACATTGCCAGACAGACTACAGTGCGCTGACGGCAGACGGTAGACGATGACGATCATGAAGACGAAGGGGTACAACAAGTGCGTGCTATCCTGGCCTCTAGCTGCCTTCTTATTCCACGCAGCCTCGCGCCACGCGGCAATACCGCTCAGGTCGCTAACGACAAGGCCGTGCCCCCAGCCGTGGCTGCACGCATACAGCGACTGGAAGGCGCGCATTACGTGGGTGCTCTTATCTTTGGTGTCGTGCGCGTCTAACGATTGCAAAGAATGGCATGGAGAACTTCCCGCTATGGGCAAGTGCAGTGGTGCGTCCTTCCGGCCACCTACTTTACTCCGCGCTCATCATCACAGCTTGCTGCCAACTACGCCGGCCTGGACAACCGCAAGGTCAACACCATCTCCCTCGTATAGTGCGTATGCCCTTGTTGCATACCGTCTGTGACTCATTCTCGCCGCAAGTATACTCGGCCGCGTCCTCTACAACTACTTCTACATCACCCAGCGAACGGTCACCCAGAGCAATCTCCGCTCGGTTGTTTTCTTCGGGATCCTGCGTACGTGGTCTCTGCCAGGGACACGACAACTGACCGTGATCCTTTAGCGCTCCCGGTGTATCTTCTGATCAGTGCTGCGTCCAAAGTAGCCAGCGGATAGTTAACGAACACAGCTTCACCTTACTGCCCTGTCAATATGAGGGAAGGAAGCTGCAAGCGGCAGATGACGAACCTTCTATTATTATCACCAACTAAGTCTTTTGCAAGTTCTCTTCACTAGATAATAAAGTTGACATCTTTCTATTATTTCTTTTAGAAAAAATAGTATCTTATCTGTTAAGTTGGCCTATTTTCAATTATGGTTGTAGACATGGTACAATAAAAGTTGCTTGTGAAATTTCCCCTGAACTCAGCATTATTTCCATTGTGAGTCATGGAACTGTGTTGCTTTGGGGCTGATTATCAGCAGTGATTGCCCAAGGGATCAACCGGACAAGATTGCCAGGTTTGGCGCTGATTCAGGCTTGGAGTATGAGTCCGTCCTGCCCTCGTCACTGCCCCTGCCACTTGTCCCCTCCTCCTCCACTCCTGTGGTCCCTGCACCTGTCATGCCGTCCGGAGTCACTCTCACCGCAGATGCCTGGCTGGACTCACTCAAGGCGAAAATTGATAGCCTAACTGAGGCCCTTGCCTTACTCTCCAAACTGGGGACTTCCGCCTATCACATAGGTACAAAGGATGTCTACCGGTACACCAATGGCTTCGAGGACCTGATGGACCTCGCCGGATTCGAAGACGCGTTGGTCAAGGTGACCAAGTTCCGCCACAGACTTGATCCCCTGATCAACAACGGAATCACGTCCTCGAATGACCCCCCGGACCTCCGGGACTATCTTAGCTGGCGCACCCGGGCCTTCCGTCAATACGAGGCCCTGGTCCGGGCCAAGCTGATCAAGTCAGCCGCCCCCAAGACGCCTGGCGGTTTGATTCGGACTCCGTTTCCGGTCAACCGCGTCCCGGCTCCGGCTCCCTTCCGCCCGGTGGCTCCGGTCGTGCCACCCGCGGCCCGCGCCCCCGCTCCGGCGCCTCCAGCTCCCGTCCCCATGGAGTTGGATCGCACTAGGGCTCGGGGTGCCCCTCGTCGCGCCTGCTTCAGGTGCGGCGACCCAAACCATCTCGCCCGAGATTGCCCCCTCCCCGCGGATGTCCGCTCAATGGACATCCTCGACGAGGTGATCCAACAACTCGGTGACGAGATGTTAGCGGAGTTGATCGCCCGCTACTCGGACACAGCTGCGCTGCCGGAAACAGCCGCGGAGTCGATGGCCGGAGAGGATTTTGTCCCCCGCGACGAGTGACTGGTGTGCCCTCGTTCGCGTCCGTAAATCGTTTCGCTTGTTTGTATGACGAATCAATTCCTTTGCCCTACAACGAGCCTGAAACGAAAGACATACCCTCCCCCGCCCCGTTTCGACTCCGTCTCCGACTTCGCCCGCGACTCCGGTCATCGTCCTTCGCCGCCTCACTGCCTGGGAAAAGAAACTGCCCAAGCAGTACACTGTCGCTGCTTCCCCTGGAGTGAACTCCCTCCACCTCCCGTTGGAGCTAGAGTCCACTACCAGCGCGCTTAAGCTCTCGCTCTCCGGCCTGGTTGACTGTGGTGCCACCTCCGACTTTATCGACACGAACTATGTCGCTCGGAATGGCATTCCGGTCCGCACCCTGGCGCAACCGATTCCGGTCTTTAACGTTGATGGCACTCCGAACGACGCCGGCTCCATCAACCAGATCGCGGACTTGGTCTTACGCTACAAAGGCCATTCCGAGCGTGTTCAACTCGCCGTCACTCATCTTGGTAAACAAGACCTTATTCTGGGGTACTCCTGGCTGCGGAAGCATAACCCGGAAATCAATTGGGAAACCAAGGAGGTCAAGATGACACGGTGCCCCCGCGGTTGCTCCACTTGCCGCGAGGAAGAACGCGTTGAACGGACTGAGCTACGGCGACTCCGGCTGCTCCAGAAGCGACTCCGCTCCGGCCCGTTCCCCTCGGTCTGCACCATGGACCTCTCTGGGCCTGACGACGGAGACGATTCCGTCTCCGGTGACGACTCCGCCCTGCCTGATCTGATGCCGGACTCCGACGACGATGAAGACGATGGTCAGCTTGAAGATGGTGACCGCATCTTCTACACCTCGTTCCGCCCCTCGGAGGAGATACGCGCTGGCAGTACTGTCTCACAGCGCCTGGCCGAAGCCTTCGCCAGGAACTCCGCCCCTCCGCCCTCCGAGATCCCGGACTGGGCTAAGGAGTTTCAGGATGTCTTCAACAAGGAGTCCTTCGACACGCTACCGGAGCGGAGAGCCTGGGACCACGCCATTGAACTCGTCCCCGACGCTAAGCCCACCAACTGCAAGGTGTACCCCATCTCGCCCCTCGAGCAACGCGAGCCTCGACGCGTTCATTGAGGAAGGGCTTTCGACGGGCCGGATTCGCCCCTCCAAGTCTCCGATGGCGTCTCCGGTCTTCTTCGTCAAGAAGAAGGACGGCGGACTCCGCTTCGTCCAGGACTACCGTGCTCTCAACGCGATGACTGTCAAAAACCGGTACCCCCTTCCGCTGATCAACGACCTCATCAACCGGCTCAAAGGCGCTCGTTACTTCACCAAACTCGGACGTCCGTTGGGGCTTCAACAACGTCCGGATCAAGGAAGGTGACGAGTGGAAAGCGGCTTTCCGGACTAACCGAGGCCTGTTCGAGCCCTTGGTGATGTATTTCGGCCTGACAAACTCTCCCGCGACGTTCCAAACGATGATGAATGACATTTTCCAGGACCTCATCCTCTCCGGAGACGTCATGATCTACCTTGACGACATCCTGATCGCCCATTCCGACCTCCGGAAACACCGGCAGATCGTTCAGGAGCAGCTCCTATAGTCAGATCTATGCATAAGATATGGGTGGTGTCCAGGGAATATTATGTATAAGATATGGGTCCAGCTATTTGTAATATATAACAGCCCTTGAATTTATTATTATTAGACTACCTGAGAGGGTTATCAGTGATGGAGTGATGGCATCTAGATATATACCTTGATGTGGAACCATTTTTGATTGGCATCAGTGATTCTGATGGCTATATAGAGATCCATCAATTTCATCCCAATTAGGATGATAATCTCTTTTCCCTATCACACAGTCCCCCTAACTACATACCGGGTCATCGGCCTGAAGAAATAGGACTTAAGGATATTATATATGATATTACATAAGTGATATCTGTTAATCCTGTTGTGTAATATCAGTTTTGATCTCCTGTCACAATTCCTGTCACAAGTCTCAGTTATAGGTCTCTGGTGAAACACCCATATCTTATGGATAGCTTTCTGTGGACCTCACCAGCATTTTATGCATAGATCTAGCCATAGAGGGTGTCAGGAGGTCTTGCGGCGACTCCGAGAGCACAAGTTGTACCTCCGAGCGGAGAAGTGCGACTTTGAAAAATCGTCAATCGAGTACCTCGGAGTCATCATCTCCCACAACCACGTCGAAATGGACCCCGTCAAGGTCGCAGGCGTCTCCGCTTGGCCGACTCCGGAAAACAAGAAGGACATTCAGCAGTTCCTTGGGTTCGCTAATTTCTACCGCAGGTTCATTCGGGACTTCTCGACCCTGGCGCGCCCTCTTTTCGTGCTCACCAAGAAGGACCAGCAATGGACTTGGGGCAATGCGGAGGCCTCCGCGTTCCAAGCGATCAAGGACGCAGTCACCTCGGAACCGGTCCTGGCGATTCCGGACGACGCACGGCCTTTCCGACTTGAGGCGGACAGCTCTGATTATGCGACGGGGCGGTTCTTTCACAATCCGCCCCGGACGGGAAGTGGCACCCTGTAGCATTCTATTCCAAAAGCTTAAATGATGTCCAGCGCAACTACGAAATCCCACGACAAGGAGATGCTGGCAATCATCCCGCACTCGAGGAGTATAGACACTTCCTCGAGGGCGCCGTGCATCCCGTCGAGATTTGGACTGACCATAAGAATCTGGAGTACTTCAGGAAGACGCAGCACCTCAACCGGAGACAGGCCCGCTGGTCCCTCTACCTCTCCCGGTTCGACTTCACGCTGCACCACAAGCCCGGCCGCGACATGGGCCGACCTGACGCCCTCTCTCGGAGACCCGACCACGGAATCGATTCCGACAACTCCGGCGTCGTCCTTCTGCGGCCCGAACTCTTCCATGTCCGCGCTCTCGAAGGTGTTTCCGTTTCCGGCCCTGGTTCTGAACTCCTTCGCGACATCCGCGATGCCCTCTCCGGTGAGCCTGACTTAGAGGAGCCCGTCGCACTAGCGGCCCGGCAACTCCTAAAGGTCCAAGGTCAAGCTCGAGGCCCCCGCTCCTCGCGCTCCAACGAGTGGGCTGTCTCCGGTGGTCTTCTTCACTTTCGTGGGAAGATTGTCGTACCTAAGGATAAGGACCTCCGGAGACGCATCATCGAGCTCTGCCACGACACTCGAGTTGCCGGACACGCTGGTCGCTTCAAGACCTTGGAGTTGGTCTCCCGGAACTACTGGTGGCCTCAGATGTCTCGCCATATTGGCCGGTACTTCGCGACCTGTGACTTGTGCTGTCGCACCAAAGCACTCCGGAGACTGCCCCACGGAGAGCTGCACCCAACGGAAACGCCCCCAGAGCGTTGGCATACCGTCTCCGTCGACTTCATCGTCGAAGCTTCCGGAGGCCCATGGGTACGACGCGATCATGGTCGTCGTCGACACCCTTGGGAAGCGTGCCCACTTCTCGGAGTGTCACACCACGGTCGACGCAGTAGGGGCGGCTCGCCTCTACTACCGGAATGTCTGGCGCCATCACGGGACTCCCGAGACGCACGTCTCCGACCGCGGCTCGCAGTTCATCGCGGACTTCACCCGAGAACTCTGGCGTCTAATCGGCATCAAGCCTGCCACGTCCACCGCGTACCACCCGCAGACAGACGGTCAAACAGAGCGCGTCAACCAGGAGCTGGAGCAGTACCTGCGGATCTTTACCAACTATCAGCAGGACGACTGGGATGAGCTGATTCCGGCCGCGGAGTTCGCCTACAACAACCACGTTCACTCCTCCACGCAACAAGTCCCCTTCATGACGGACACGGGAC